TGATAATGAGAACAATAAGGATTCTCAAAATAATCCTTCACTTTGTGAAAATAATATGTGTCATCGATTTGACATGAGTTTTTGTAAAGCACATATTGATGATTATGGTCCATTCATGATGCGAATGTGACAACAAGTGATTTATGAATACATATTTATTCTTAGAAGAATATGAACGTGCTAGTGGTACTACACTCACCTCTAGAAGGAGGTTTGAGATAATATAAGAAAATAATGTCATTATTAAGGCATAAAAGGTCATTGGTCATGTACGCCAAAATATTTTGGTAATGTGATTATTAAAGGATAATAGTAATGCAAGAAACAGATCTTGCATATAATTTTGGCATGCCATAATGGTATAACTTTCTCTTTAAAAGAGATAATCACCATATGGATGTTGATGAATATGTGGTAGTACCAAATTAATTGAGAGCTCTGGAAGAGCCAATTATTACTATTTTGGAGGAATAAAATTAATTATCAATAAGGCATTACGTTGTAGTAAGTCTCAAAGAAACTTATTGAGTTTCTAAAGTATTCACAAAAGCGATTAGTTATATTGAGACTATAAATAATCAGAAGATTTAATATCTTTATATTACTACAATTGTAGCGAGGTAATATGTATATGAAAACTACCCGCTTTATTGCTTGATTTGTACTACACAAATAAAAAATATGGTGAAATTACATGACCCAATAAACTGAATTTTTATTGATATAAAAACTTATATCATAATAAACTTGGAGTATTCTTATAATTGCACACGTCATGGTGTAAACCTGAAATTTATCAATATTGATAATTTATTCAGTTGACACAATTGATTTAGCCATGTTAATTTAAGTATGATGTGCAAAAATAAAAGAGAATTCACATGGTTAAATATTAAAGAACTAGAAAGTTCTTTACGAATTCTCTTATGTTGCGTGTTCTCATTATTAATTAATAGACCAACTAACATGGGGATTGAATCCCATGAATGCTGAAAATATCAAAGGTGACTATGGGCTCATTCACTTGCCATGTATACCGCATAAGATGCATCTATGAGATGGTTACATGTTAAATTATTATTAACTCGCTGGTTTTGCGAGGTAAGTTGCTCAATAATTAAATTTAGAGTATAATTTTCAGATTTTCTATTCAAGAAGTTCATCTTGATAAGTTGGTTTACTCACAGTTGGTTTAGCAAAATGATTTATTGAGTGCCTCCACTTAATAGCTAAACTATTGCTTATGAGAACAGAGTTATTTATATCAGTTTGATATACGTTATATACGAAAGTATATTACATTCTCCCCTCACAAAGTGGTTCAGGATCAGGAACCAAATAGTTTCATCTTATTATTATTATGTTCGGTGTATATTTTAATTAACACCATAACGCACAAAGGTGGATTTTCAAAGTTGAGGAAGCAAGTTAGTTTTTCTAACATGAATGGGAGACGGAATAAACAGTTGAGAAAAAGTTACGTGGAATGAATTATCATTTGTACATCTAGATCCTCGAATAAGATAATATGAACTTGAAATTCATTAAAAGATAATTCATCTGCAATATATTGTCAAGCATGCTAGACGCATTGGCTGACCCAAAGATAGTAACTATATTCTCACTGCAAATGCTCCTATTAGAATAAGTCTTAGAATGACAAAGTCTATGATACGGTTAAAGCGTATAGACAAATCGGTTTCAAATAATATTCTAGATAGAGAATATGAGCAAATGATCAAAATGATCATAATAAGGAGGCAATTGTCTAGAAGATCACATGACATAACACTTTATAAAATCTCATGAGAGATTCAGGTACCTGAATATATGAATGAAGAGATCTCTATGTTATGTCTTTAAGAAAATAAGGAGGTTGAAACCGATATAAAATGTCCGTCGACGACATCTATGATAGCGCTAAATATGTATATATATGAGGATCGTAAGTCTAGAGAAACAATTCAAGTAGAATTGGTTTCATATGAAAGACATGTTGTTATGGACCTGCAGTTCAAACACTTGAAAGTATAAAGTCAATTGTGTGTGCAATCACTTTTATTTATCTTATATGTCTAGCATGACATGAAATCTTGATATTCATCTAAAGTCTATTTATATTGGTTATATGACTATACTTATATGACAATCCATGAAGGATTTAGATCGCCTAAAGCATATAGAATTCTTAGTCATGAATTCTATACTTAGGACTCTTACATCCTAAGTGCAATTTGTGCACATAAGTATCTTGCTAGAACTATAAACATGATAATACGAGAGTAAGAGTCTTTACCCCTATATGAAGATATGGAAATCGCGATTCCAACAAAAACATATGAAGACAATACATCTCTATAAGGAATGTTGATTTCAAGGTGAAACAAATTCGTTCAAGTTCAATTTTTTGAAGATGGTGCAAAAGATTGGAATGCAATGACTCAAATATCTGAATTGATGTTTTCATTAGGGTGAGTTAATACGCGTTGTACTCTTTTTCTCTTACAAAGTTTTGTCACACTGGATTTTCTTTGCAAGGTTTTTAACGAGGCAACCAAAAAACGTATTGTTAGATATGTGTACTCTTTTTTTCCTTCACTAGAATTTTTTTTCCACTCGATTTTATTTTAGTAAGATTTTAATGAGACACATTTTCTGTTGAATAGACATTCAAGGGAGAGTGTTATAAATAGAATTATATTTAAGGTGAATGCCTATATTTTAGAGAAAATTTAGGATTTGTTACTTTATGGCTAAGTCACTTTTTCCATGTAAATAAAGGAGTTCTATTCCTATATATATATATATATATATATATATATATATGTATATATATATACAATTACTGCATCTTTTAATAATTTATGCCAGTTGAAACATCCTCTTCATTAATTAATTCAATGCACCTGAAATTAATATTTAATAAAAGGTTTTTATGAAGGGTAAAATGTTGAAATTAACATTTAATAAAAGTTTTTTTTATGAAGGTATTTGTTAAAGGTTTTTATTATTCATTATATTAGTTGTTTTATGTTTTAATACATTTTAATTTAAAATAGGGGCAAAACTGTAATCTAATTTTATATACTTTTTCGGCTACCAGATATAAATAATTTCTAGTGCAGGCTACCCCATATTTTAACAGGTCAGAATCACCTTAATAGTTTAATTGGCCAAATTTAAAAAATCAGCTTACTCTAAAAAATATTTTTTTTCCTCAAAAGTGCTTTTCTAAATAAATAATACTTTTGATGAAAAACAATTTGTGTTTGACTAATTAATTTGAAAAATACTTTTGAGCATTAATTAATGTTTGGTCAAACTTCTAAAAAGTACTTCTAAGTTCGTAAAAGTACTTTTGGAAAAAACTACTTTTTTCTGATTCTCTGAAATTATATCTGCTTCTACTCAAAAACACTTTTTTTCTTCTTAAAAGCGGTCAAACACTTAAACACTGAAAAAAGCATTTTTTTTTAGAAACTAAGTGTTTTTGGCTCGGGAGAAGAAATAATTTCTGTTCATGATGAGACTTTACATCTATCTAGTCTCCTTTGAAATATTTTGTCCACATAATCCCATACCCTAGAACAGGAACATTGAAAAACCTAAGACAGACATGGAGAAATCATGTCACCAATCTTTTCCCGTTTTTGGTAATTCATCCCGATTTGATTATGTTCAACGAAATCAAACAAACTGTAGGCTACTCATTGACAGATACTTTAGTCCGAGCACACTACTTTCTTTTATATACTCCATGTAAATAATACATTCAAGAAATGGTCCAGAGAGTAAGGTCTTCAATCAAGCTCTTAGTACATGAACAATGGATCTTCATTGTTAACCAAAAGTTAACTTGTTTTACAAACCAAAACTAAACAACTTTGTTAGCCCGTCTTTCTCAACTAGTATTCAACAGCCTAGAGTAAACACTAATCAAAGGACCCCCCTAGGAAAAGGGTGGAAAACAATGTAGCTACCACAAAAACTCAGAAGCAACACGTAGGATTCAAGAACTGGACACAACAACTCATTTCAATTGTGATTTTACTACACATATCAGGGTCAAATATTAATGCAAGTAACTCACAGATACAACCCCGACGAGTCCAGTCCCACCCAAGACCCTCTCAGCATAAACATGCAAAATCTAGGAATTGATTTCATATTAGAAGGTAATTAATGTCAGAGCATGACATTACATTATTCTTGAATTCCTTTTTTAGGAAAGATTGTAAATTCATTCACTTAAGATCAATTGTTTTAAGTCGACACAACATCTAGAGCAGTAATGTGACACTCAGATCTAGATATAGTGAAGTTTGAAGTGTCAGAAGGTCCAGCTATAAGGTAAAACCAAAAATTGCAATGGAGAAATTATCTCCACAGCTATACGAGTATTTGGTGGACAGGTAAAATACAATATAACGTGCATAGCCAGTGGATAACAACCAACAGAAACAGTTGAGTACCCATACCTTATATACCATGCTTTGACACATGATAATAATCATCAGAAACTGACGAGTACTCAAGAAGCAGTCTTAAGCAGTTTAGACAAGAAATCGAAATAGGAACTTATAGATTGGTGGAAATGTCATGCCCAATACATTCACATGTTAAAGACCCATACTTGAACAAGTTTACTCTACTAAATTTTAGTCTTGACTGCTGTTTCAAGGCAAAAGGAGAAGTTACAATCATTATATCCCACAACACAAGAACCACAGGGTACACATCTTTATACACTACTAAGCTCATTCGAATGTTCAAAGTTGATATTGCGCATAGGATCTACTCTAGAGGCTACCATGTTCTGGCACCGAAAGATATCATTTCTAAAGAGATACCTACAATGTTCACACTCTAACTAGTCTAAAACGAATAGAAAATTTAACCTTATAACTAATGTATGCACAAATAATTCACTCACATTAGCAGAAACAATTTAAAGCTAAAAGCATACCAACATCTTTAATAAAATCCGAGCGACAATCAGATATGACAATCATCCAAAATCTTATAATAATGCCAAATAAAAACCAACATTCTTTTCCAAAAAATTTCCAAAGAGAGTATTCTCATCATGATATGATATCAAATCAAAATTATCCTCTGATAAAATCTCTCTGAAAATCCAAAACGATACAAATTCAAATTTTAAAACTACTATATCGCGAGAATTTCAGAATTTAACCTCCTTAATCAAGAGGAATTTCGACATCACCATCATCAATCTCCTGCTGCAAATCCTTAGGATCCTTTCCATCAACAGTACAGCCAACAGAAACACACGTCCCCAAAATCTCCTTCACAGTTCCAGTCAAATCCTTAGCCATAGATCTAGGCTTCATCACTTTAGCAATCTCAATCACATCATCAAGCGATATATTACCGTTGTGCTTGATATTCTTAGTCTTTTTGCGATCTCTCTCCGGCTCCTTCAACGCCTTGATGACGAGTGCCGCGGCGGACGGTACGACGGAGACTTTAGCTTGACGGTTCTGAACGGTAAGTTTCACGGTGACTCGGAGACCCTTCCAGTCCTTCGCGGTTTCCTTTGCGATGTCTTCTCCGATTTTCTTAGGGGACAGACCAAGTGGACCGATTTTTGGAGCGAGTGAACTCGCTGCTCCGACTTCACCTCCGGTGACTCGGACGAAAACTTCGACCACCTGAGAGGGATCGAACTTTGGCGGCATTTTGTCAAGCAGAGGAGAGTGGGGCTAGGGTTCTGGTGAGCTTTGTGGATGGAAATGAGGGAAAATTAGACTTATAAGCCTAGGGTTTTTGCAGAACTTATGCTGAAATGCCGTGGTTACCCTTTATGGGCTTGTACTGAGTTATTTCAGCTTTGGAGGTGCTACTACTTGGTTATTGGGCTAACGTAGTTTACCCAAATCTCCTTTATAGGCTAATGTTTAGATTTTGTCACTATTTTTAAAAGAGGAAAACTATCCTCTATATCCATTTATAGGTAGCTTATTACACAAATTGATCAATTAATAAAATATTACTAATATTATTCAATTAGCTATTTGTAGCAAAAATTAATTAATTTTTTGCTTTTTTTGAGCGGGTGTTATTAGAATAAATTGGGTACATCTTAAGGAGCTTGAATCTTAATTTTGGATGATTTGGTGGAGTTTTGAGGTGGTTTGAATTGAAACTTCGAAGTAGAAGATGAACATGAAAAAAATAATATGTGTATCACATACGTATCATTTTTATATCAATTGTGTATTATATGTATATCCACGTATACATGTGTGTAAGATACATGCGTGATACATGTATCGCAGAAGAATTTTTTATACTCAATTTTAACTACAAAGTTTTGATACCAAATCACCTTTAAATATTTCTCAAATTTAGTATATTGACTCATCTATAAGTTTTCAATGAATTTCAACCAAACCCATTGAAAAATGTCCTTTTTTACTTAGATTTTTGGAATGTTA